GTCTGGCAGCAACTACCTTAGTCTTTTTCCTTTTAATTTTTCTTTTATTTTCGTCATGACACTGGTGAGGCCCCGCCTCCCCTGCCTCCCCTGACTGCACGTCCCTGACAACAGCACTAAAAAGGTGACTTACAACCAATCTTCACACTTATGACTGTTGCAGGATCCCAGGATCACGCGATCTCTATTTGTGATCTTCCCAACAAGCAAAGTCAATGGGGGGGGGAGCCATATTTGGTTTAATAGCCACCTGATTCCTTTAACAATTGTAGCAAAAAATGTCATAGAATTGGGTATGTCTCATTTAACAACCATCTTGCTTAGCAATGGAAATTCTGCTCCCAATTGTTACTCCCTGTGTTATCTTGTCCACCACCACAACAGCAACGTGTTGATGAAGAAAATGCCATTTTCTTCATCTGCATCATCAAACAGAGCACAGTACTCAGAACGTGATGGGAAGGAATGAAATAATTTCAATTAACATTTCAAAAAGCTCAATCATTGCACATTGGCAATCTTTCTTATCTGCTCTGCATCGCATTAAATTAAAATGATTAAAATTAATTAATTCCAAGACCATGAAAGGAGTTTCAGCCAGCCCCTTCTTTGCATCCAGTAATGAGTTCCCAGAGTTGAAATCTTGTCAGCAAGGAATGATTTCGGACTAAGATTTTATGGTTCGTCTTCTTCACAAAGTTTTACCAAGTCTGTCCTTTCTTCCCATTTTTTCCATCTTTTTTTTTCTTTTTGAAGAAACGCAGCCAAAGAATTCAGAACTCCCGTATAATGTCTTTTGATTGGAGGCAATAGAATCCAATCTATTGATTGGAGAGTGAAGTGATGGGATTCAAAAAAGTTTACTACTGGTTCTGTGGGTTGTCTTTTTGGGCATGGTGTGGCTTTGTGGGCATGGCAGGGGAAAGATACTACAAAATCCTCAATCCCTCCACACCCCACTAAACTGTTTTCCAGCTCCGATCTCCTGTTCAAGGCAACAAAAGAAGATCGGTTGTGAGGCAGCAGGAGCAAGGGCAGCCTATTTGCCGGTTCTCCAAATTACTCAAAATGTCTGCTACCTGTTCTCCAGAACCTGTCAGAACTAGCTGAAAAGTCTAAGTGCTATTGCTATTGCTATCCATCCATCAGAAATGGATTCCATTGCATTTTATTTAATTCCATCATAACTATCATCTTCATTATTACTAAATCAACTTTCTTAATATCTCTGCTTTGGGCATCAACAATTTTGGGCATCTCTTCCTGCTGCTTTCCATATGCCGTTTCTCTCTGAAAAGATATTAACAGTGTGTTGTGGCCCAGCGGAGCTGTTGGAGCTGCCACCAGACTCCGACAGTGAGGGGCCCTATGAGTCGGCTCTGGAGGATGTGGAGGACCCTGGACAGGGTTTCGACTCTGAGCAGGGTGCAGAGAGGCTGGTTGGCCACCAGGAGGAGCCTGAGCCTTGGAGCAGTGGGGAGGAGACAAGGGAATGTGATCCTGACGTCATGCATTGGAGCAGTGGAGAGGAGACAAGGGAGTTGGTCCTGGATGCCTGGCAACGGAGGGCTAATAGGCGTAAAGAACAGTTACACAGTTATAGGAGATAATTGAACTCAGCTGGTGGTAATTAGGCTCCTCTCAAGACTATAAAAGGAGTGACTTTCCACACGCTCATCGTAAATCAACGTATTTACTAGAGCTGGAGAAGCTATCGTGACTAGCTTGGCAGGCTGGATTGCTGCCAAAGACTAGTCTGTGCTGGATTGCTGCCAAGATCTAGTCTGTGTGTTAATAAATCCTTGAAGTATCTTTGTCTCGGCATCCTTTGGTGTAGGAAGAGGCGGGTCGGAACAGTGTATGAAAATCTCACCTTGCCATTTCTCTTAAATTTACTTCCCCTGCCTAAAAAAAGATCCCCAAATGTTTTTTCTACAATATTCACAGAATACTTGAGACTTTCTTTGAAATTCTTCTTGGCGGTGTTTTTGAGTGAATGGTGGTGTTCTGAGTTGGAGCTGAATAGTTTTCTATTCTTATCATGACAGTAATTCTCTTCTTTCAAATTTTATATATAGAGGCTACAGACTGCTTTAAAAAACATACTCCGATGAACAGTAGGGCACTCATCACTCATCTTGGTCAACTTGTAACAAAGTAATATAAAAATACAATTGTCAACTCTGAAGTTGGCCTGACTGAGGCCATCTTTGAGGCTTCAGTGTTGCCACAACGAAGATGAGAGTTAAGGAGGGGGAATAGCTGGGGGTTTGTAGCTAAAACAAAATACTTTCCCCTGGGAACCAAGGACATTCCAACAGGTGGCTGAAGAGAGGAGGAGGAGTGATGTAACCAAGCAACTGGACAGCACCCTGATTGGACCATGTGACTGCTTGTTTGGGAAACTGGGAAAACTTTTACTTTTAATTAGGTGAAAACTGTGAGAACCTTTAGAGTCAGCTTTCACCAGCCTGTGCCAATATGATACATCCAATAAAACTTTTTACTGGCTTAAGGATGATTAGAGAAGACTTCCGATCAATAGTGAGTTTTGCCACCCATCACTTTGCAAGGACGTCAGTCGCTGCTATGACTTGGAATCAGAAGCAACACAGGAGGGATGGAGCCACATTGGGGACAGCAAGAGTCATATGCATATGCCAGTTAAGACATAAGTGACTAACACTACAACTCAAAAGAG